TTGGCCACAGCTTCTTTCAACGATTAGGTCACTCCACCTGCTAAAAGTAACAGGCTTAACATTAGTGTTGGCCCGTCCCCTTGGAGTGGCTTTCTTGACGCCTTTCTAAATGGACTGGAACTTCTGTTCAGCGCTATGGAACTTCCACATGTTGATACTGAAAAGTACTGTGACACTAACCAAATTGGAATATGATAAATTCTTTTTCTACCTCAGAGATTGTTTCATTTCTTCATTTTGTACTGGATATGTCTGCATATTTCAATGATCTGTTCATTTTTACTACTAGGATACTACAGGTAACTAAAGTAACAACTATTATGAATACACAGTAATAATTGGCCTCATATATATTTGACAGAAGCTAAAAATACAGTGTTCTTTGTTGTATCTTTAAAGGTTGCTTATTCTTCTCGAGTGGAATAAGTGTCTTTCATTAGTTTAATTTAATGAACTCTTTTGGCATTTAGTACAAACACTTGTTGTTATCTGTTATATTCTTTTGTCAATCTTACCTATCTTTCAGGACATCATAGGTAAATTATACAGACATATTTTTGACTACTGCTGATGTAACTAATCTCCGGAGAGACAATAGAGACCAATGCTGCAAATTATATGTGAATAGAAATAACTGATCAGGTGAAGTTAAAAAGTTTTTACCAGTAAGTCTTGTTGGTAGTGATTGTAATTTCTCCAACAAACTTTTAAGCACTCATTGCTATATTGTATTGACATATTTATCTAAATGTTCGTATTCTGAAATACATTTGATGACTAACTGTATACCTTTTTTTGTCAGAATCTTATTCATATTTTGAACCTTTAAGCCATTATTGATGGACGAAGTGAGATTGCAGATGGAATAAGTGACGCAGATCAGACTCTGCTCTCTTCAAATCCTTAAATGTTTTGCCTTGGAGGAACAGATTCCCAAATTGAGTAAATCGTTAACCATGATGAAACAAGTAAGGCTCTCTCTTTAGGCCCCCAAATCTAAGATGCCCATTTTTCAGCAATGATAAATTTATATATTTTTTTTAAAAAAAAATATTAGACTTACAAATTTCGCTTTGTAGAAGCGGATCCATTACAACCATTCTAAATGGTCAGAAAGTGCAGGGCTTTTTGGCCACAGCTTCTTTCAACGATTATGTTACTCCACCTGCTAAAAGTAACAGGCTTAACGTTAGTGTTGGCCCGTCCCCTTGGAGTGGCTTTCTTGACGCCTTTCTAAATGGACTGGAACTTCTGTTCAGCACTATGGAACTTCCACATGTTGATACTGAAAAGTACTGTGACACTAACCGAATTGGAATATGATAATTTCTTTTTCTACCTCAGAGATTGTTTCATTTCTTCATTTTGTACTGGATATGTCTGCATATTTCAACGATCTGTTCATTTTTACTACTAGGATACTATAGGTAACTAAAGTAACAACTATTATGAATACACAGTAATAATTGGCCTCATATATATTTGACAGAAGCTAAAAATACAGTGTTCTTTGTTGTATCTCTAAAGGTTGCTTATTCTTCTCGAGTGGAATAAGTGTCTTTCATTAGATTAATTTAATGAACTCTTTTGGCATTTAGAACAAACACTTGTTGTTATCAGTTATATTCTTTTGTCAATCTTACTTATCTTTCAGGACATCATAGGTAAAATATACGTACATATTTTTGATTACTGCTGATGTAAAAGCATCTCAAGCCCTCAAGAAAAAAGCATTTGCAGCATGAAATACATGCAAAGAGAGAAATTACATCTCTCACTATATGTTGAACTTATCTCGGGAGAGACAATAGAGACCAATGCTGCAAATTATATATGTACTGATGCTTCGCCCCTTCGCCCCTACTGATGGCAGTTCTATTGTTTATTGTGGGAACATGTGGCAGTTCCATAAGAGTATGGAAGACATCTCCAAATTGCATGAGTTTTTCTGCATTGGCATGTGCAAGACTATTTCTTCACTGTTTTGTTTTAATAATAGCACTTCATATTTACACCCAGACCTAGGTAATAATTTTTTTCCCTACAGCCTTGTATACTTCACGCTTTAACTATTGTGTTTTGTCTGTAACTGGCTTTAGTTACTTGTTCTACTATAAAGGGTAATCAATGTCCAGATGAAGTTTCAATGGCTTATATGATCCTGTCCGCACCATTGAACTTTTTGAGGCTTTCGTGTACAAAAAATTATTCTGTTCAACTTTTATTCACCAAATACAAAAGTCAACCAAAGCATTTAGTATTCCAAATAATTTATGTTATGATCTCAGCTCATCAAATTGTTTTCACAGTTCATCAAAGTTATTGCTTCAGGGATATTCCCCAAGAGCATTTTGTAAACCAATATCTTCTGTAAGCTGGTATGCTCTGATATTTTGAACATACTACTGGTCTTTCATATTTTTTCATAAATTATAATTCAGTAGATTGATCGAATAATAGATTCAAAGATTTTGTTCTTACCATTTCAATGGACGAATCAGAAATATAGGTTTACTTATTCTATATAATAGTGATCAGTAACTCTTTATCCCTCTTTTTACTATAGAACTGAGTCATGTGTTTTAAGTTATTAATCGAAAAAGTCAATCTTTGTGGCTACAGAGAAGGAAATTCTTAATGCTAGGTTTGTGTATTAATGCAATTCTTATTCCTTTAAAGAAAAAGGGATGATGAAAAAAGAAATGAAACATTCTCTTTGAAATAGTATGCTTATACGTTTTGTATTTCAGGGTGCGCATTGAGTACATGTGATTCAAAGAGATTTGGCAGAGCCTGATCGGATTGCGGAAGAATTGCTACAACTAGGTGGCTACGGCAAATTGAAAGCCTCTCAAATCTCTCCCTTTAACCAATAAAATCAATTTTCAAGGGATCCATACCACATAAGCATGATTATCTTTATTTAAAATTACCCATTACTTTGGATTGCAAATTATTTGAGCATGAGCAAGATCATCTGGTTATAATCTTTTGTTACAAATAAAGATAATTTTAGACTAAAAATTGTTGGGCCCATGTGAAGCATGGGCAAGATTGTCTAGTATTATTTATAGTGTAGGATAAGAAGATCCTTCCTTTTTGCTTCTTCAAGGTACGTCCCCAGTCACTTTTAATTCAAAAAAAGAATTATCTGACTTTCAATGTCGTGAAGCATATTGATACCTAATTATCTATAAATCGTCACAATAAAGTGTGATAACCTTAAAAAAAAGGCCTTTAACTTCACTTAGTAATTTTATTATTCATATTGACGAGGGTGAATAAGATTTTAGCCATGTGTTTGTAATATATTACCTTGGGTCATGTTGTAAAATTTTTATTACCAATATGAAGATATGAGTAGTTTAATTTAAAGTTCTAAAATACTTTTTCTGTTAAAAAGTAGGTCATTTTTCTTCTTTGAAAAAGGATTTTGTACCTTTTCTTTAAACGAACTTTAGTATTGTATAAAGTATAAACGAAGGTAAAATCATAAAATACACAGCATAAGTCTTTGGGACCCCTCTTGAACTTGACAGCTTTTATTCAGTGTACATGTAGTCTATTTTTGTCCTAATTACCTCTTTATATTCGGGTGTTTGGTAGCTTTCACCCCTGGACAACCTTAACCCGAGGAGATGTGATGCATTTGGTGTCACAAGAATTATTTTTTGTCCATGTAAAGTATTTTAATAATAAAATATATTATTTTTATATTTTCAAATTTATCAACTTTTTAGCTTATTTTTTCGTGCCAATTTTGACAACAACAATAACGGCCCGGTGTAATTTCACTAGTAGGGTCTGGGGAGATTAGTATGTACGCAGTTGTTTCCAGGAGACCCTCAGCTCAAGAAGATGACAAGAGGCGATATATTAGTATTCATAATAAAATAACAGATGACAAGAGGCGATATATTAGTATTCATAATAAAATAACAGCAATATTTGAAAGCCATAATTGGAATTCCATTATTTAGGTTAATGCCTAATTTTATTTTTAAGCATAATGGAGTTACACACAACTCCTTTTTTTTTTTTTTTTTTTTGGCATATCTAGCCCGTAAAGACTAAATTAGAACTACACAATAAATTGTCATGGCATCTAAAGATGAAATAAAGAGAAATGTATAACTGAAATTTCATTATTTTGTTAAACATTTTTATTTAAAAATAGTAGAGCTCTAGAAAATTTTCTTATAGATTTTGCTAGAATAAGAAAATTACACAGTTATTGCATATAAATAAGAAATGAAAAGAAAAATTCACAGTTGGAACTCTATTATTTTGGCTAAAAATAAGGGAAATTATCAGCTATGTCCATTTATAGGTAGCTCATTATAAAAATTGGTCAATTGATAAAATATTACTAATATTAGCCAAATTAGCCAATTAGCTATTTGTAGCAAAAAAACATCAAATCTTTGCTCTGTGTTGAGTGGGTGTTATTAGAATAGATTGGGCACAACTTAAGGAGCTTGAATCTCAGTTTTGGGATGATTTGGTGAAGTTTTGAGGTGGTTTGAATTGAAAAGTCGAAGTAAAAGCTGAAGTGTATCATACTGTGTATCATTTGTGTATCATATATGTATCATATTTGTATCAATTGTGTATCACATGTATATCCATGTATATCTGTGTGTGAGATACACGCGTGATACATGTTTGATACATGTGTCGCAGAAGACTTTTTTGAACTCGATTTAATTATGAATTTTGATACAAGACCACTCCAAATCACCTCCAATCTTCCTCAAATTTTGTATATTGACTTATCTATATATTTTGAATGAATTTCAACTATACCCATTGAAAAAATTCCTTTTTTGTTTAGATTTTTGGAATATTTGTATAGATTTTTGTATTTCATCACCTTATTTGCTACCCCGTCCATGAAATTTCTTTTCCGTCTTGTATCTAATGTTGCTAATCACACTTAAAAATATGGAAGGTGATTTTTGCATGTGATTCTTTGAGAGAAAGAACCCTATTATTTGGTTTTTCAATTTTTGTTGGCTAGTTTTGGTAAGTCTATGACTAATGGCTAGAGGTTGGTAAGTTGAGATTTATTTGGGACATTTGTGTAAGTTTCCCTAAAAATAATCGAGTTTCAGTCAAGTCTCTTTTACATAATTGGCCCAAGAAGAGTAAATACATAGTTAGAAGAAATAGTCATTACACCTAAAGAAAAAATAAATTAAAAGAATACAAAGTTGAGGTAAAATATGCGTGGTACATTTAGTACCAAGATGAAATACACAGTTAAAACAAATAAATATATTATATATGATTATGTAGTAATCAACAGTTAAAAAATATTCCACTTGAAAGTTGATTTTTTGATTTTTAATCACTCTCACATGCTTAAAAGAGAGTGGTCACTCTATTTGCCATGTCAGCGTTCATAGTGTATTGGAGAAAATAAATTACACGTGGAATTAATTATGTGGCTGATATGGCAAAACACATGGATCACTAGACAAAATAATTGAGTTTCAATCAAGTCTCTTTTACGTAATTGGCCCAAGAAGAGGAAATACATAGTTAGAAGAAATAGTCATTACACCTAAAGAAAAAATAAATTAAAAGAATACAAAGTTGAGGTAAAATATACGTGGTATATTTAGAACCAAGATGAAATACACAGTTAGAACAAATAAATATATTATATATGATTATGTAGTAATCAACAGTTAAAAAATATTCCACTTGAAAGTTGATTTTTCGATTTTTAATCACTCTCACATGCTTAAAAGAGAGTGGTTACTCTATTTGCCATGTCAGCGTTCATAGTGTATTGGAGAAAATAAATATTACATGTGAAATTAATTATGTGGCTGGCATGGCAAGACACATGGATCACTAGAAAAGTGACAGCTGGAGAAGAGTACTTAAAAAGATGTAAGTCTTAATAGGCACGAGCAAAACGTCTAAGAGACGAGAAAAAACGGTTGCTCGAGTCTCTTAGTAATTTGAAGAGACACCGGTAGAATGAACTAAGACAGTAAAAAGCACAGATTCGTTGGTCTTCTATTAATCAGCACGAATGATTATAAACGTTACAGATTCACGAAAGAATTACGATTGCCAATTATAACGTTTCATTAATGTCATTAATGCTCATAATGACTCGATCATAAAGGGAAAAAGACGTTGTACTTAGAGATGGCTATATAAGGAAGAAAAATGTCATTTGTATGGGGACGTTCTGATAATTACTGGAATACAATTATTTACTTTTGCTTTATATTAATTACTTTGCAATTTCATACTCTAATTTTCCTTTCTCATTGCAAGAATATTCCTTTTCTTGATTATCAGTAACCCGAGTACTTCTAAAAATAGGCTTTGACCGAAATTCCTATTTTCTGGTTAAACAAATTTTTTCCGTTACCGGGAAGCTGATAATCTTTTCACTTCCCAAATCCATTCTTCTGCCAAAAACTCATGTCAAACGTCAACGACAGCAACCAACAAAACCTACAAAACCAACAAAATCAGCAACAGTTGAATCAGCAAAATCAACAAGGTGATGGAACTCCAGTCCCCTCACCACGAAACTCTCCTCGACAATCTCGAGAAGACCTGACAGATCTGAATCGCATATGAATGATCAACATGAGGACGATCAAGCTATCGATGCAACATTGAAAATATTAATCGCAGAACAGGTCAACAATGCTCTTCAAGCTTTTGCCAGAGGGTAGCCAACGTACCCCCAACTCCGCATCCAAACAACACCACAACCATAGAGAATCCACGCTCAAGACTCGCTAATTCAGGCAGCGGAGGAACTCCCAGCAAATCTCGCGATGGGAGGTCAGGTATCTCAATTGATTCTAATTTACAAAGTTTAGTACTAACTTTGCAAAAACAGATCAAGGAGCAGAATGATCGCATAGAGCAGATACCTGGTGTTCCACCTATAATCAAAGGGGTGGACATGGAGAAATATTCTCAACTACCTTGGAAACTCAGTGCCGCTCCTTTACCTATTCCAAAAAAGTTCAACATGCCCGATATCTCAAAGTATGATGGAACTACCGATCCACGAGATCATGTAACCACATTTACCACAGGCGTGAAAGGCAATAATTTGACTAAGCAAGAGATTGAACAGTGCTGGTCAAAAAATTCGGTGAAACACTCACAAA